AAAAAAGTACTCCAGAGTGTTGTTCAGCATGGGGGTGAGTAGAAAATGAAGGCTAATCATGTTTTGGGTGTACTATTCCTTTAAGCCCTGAAGGTCTTAGGAACAAATTCTACCTGAAATTCCATGTGAATTAAAGCAAGTCCAGCTCCCAAACTATAAAATTCGAAATACAATTGTTTGTATTAGTATGACAGAAAGGCATTGAGGAATATTTTTCAGGTGGAAACATTATTTTAAATCTCACCATGTCTGATTTATAGGTGATTAAACAAATAAAAAAAAATATAAAAACTGCAAAACACCATGAAAGCCCATTTGAAACTTTGGATAAACCCTCAGACTTTATAGATCCACATCTTGACTATAAGTCAAGCTAATTCAGACTGAATAAGTTGAAGCATGTTTGTTCCACAAAGGTTTTAGTGGGACTTTTGGAACAATGCCAAAAATGCATTCTTTCGCTCATAAAAGGGAATTTGCAGATTTAAATATGCTGATTTCCATTATTGGAGACCTTCTGCATGAGGCAAAGCCTTTGCTCCTCAGATTTAATCATTCTTTCATTTAAATTTACCAATAAAATCACCAAACCGAATAGAAAATTAGAATAACAAAGCAAGCTTAGCGTGCCGGTTACATCAGCTGAAATAGTCGCACAATGACCTCTGACCCCTCCTTGGAAAGGTCTGAGCCTCTAGTTTCCAATGATGGCGGCCATTAGGGGGCGGGGCTAAAAATGAATAGCTGCTGTTGCATTACTCCCACAGTGTCACATGTTAGGTGGAATTTTAAATATCATTTAATTTGTTTACACATATATAAAACAAAAAAGTATTTGTGAAAAAAATAATTTTGAAGCATGTTTTTTAAATTTTAAAGCCCCATTTGAAAGGCGTGTGGATGAAACACCATGTGACCGTGTTTCTATAAATAGATAAACATGAGCAGGTGTCAGTTTGGCTCTGTGCCGGGCCCGCTGGGCTAAAAAGCTAATTGCCTCTCGTTAGTCGCTCCTGTTTGTTGACTAAGGCTCTATTTCTGTGTTTTTGTGCAAAGGAATCCTCTTCATTAGGAATCTAAACCCTCAGACTGACACCTGACAAGATATGATTTCTAAATAAAAGTGACATTAATGATCTTTATGAATCATCCGTTTTTTGATGTGCTGCCAGAATCAAAGGATTTTCATCACGATTTTTAGAGTTTCAGAAAGAAAGGAATTTAAAACGATTTGTCAGTATTTTTCTGTTTGGTTTTAAAAGGAATGAATGAATCTTATCAAGGTTAAGTTCTATTTAAAAACCTGGCAGGTCGGACTGATGAATGCAGGTTTAGTTTACCCTCCTAGTGTCATGATTTAACTAAAGATCAGACCCAAAATGCAGAAGACCAAACAGAGAGACCAGGGAAAAGGTTTAACAGGTTTTATTTTATTTAGGAGATTGTGAAGAATCCAGTGTTGATCTGAAAACTGCTCAACCGGAACTGAAAGGTGAGGGGAAGACACTGCGGTTGGTTCAGGTACGGTGGGAAATTTGATTCTCGAACTTGAAGAGGTGAAATAGATTGCTGACTCACGTTTCCAGAGAAGTAGTTGACTCTTTGATTTCAGTCTGTATGCTGTAGTTCCAGTGTTTGTCTGATTTGGTGGAGGGCGGACAGGGTTTACCCAGAATGCGGTTGTCTGTAGGTGAACGGAGAAGCTGACTGCCACTCAGATTTCCTGCGGTACTTGAACGGGTC